TGACAGTCCCTTAATATGTGGAGGGGAAAAGGTGCCTCTATTCGGGATTGATTGATAGTAACTCTTTAAGAATTTTGTAGAAAGAATATATAGTAGTGGGGATTATGAGATGTGTGGTAAATAATAAGTAATAGTTTTAAATGCGTGATTTAAATTAAAATTTGATTAGATAATAGAAATAAAATTGAAGTTACTAATAATATTAGACATGTAAATCCATAATTCTAATTGTAGACTTGTAGGTTGTAGCCTCAATAGGTGACCTAATTATTACTACTAAGATCGAAGAGATCCGTGTATAAATACGCGTTAATGTTGTAAAAATAATACATTCAATTCTTGATTATTAAAATATTTTAGTTTTTCCGTTAATTGGTGGATTCTAATATTTATTTGGTAGATTCCAAATAGTTATCACGTCCGTTAGAGTGAAATTCGAGCAAACATCCGTTCATGTGCTACGAACAAGACACTTTTATTATTATTCACGTTTCTGTCCTGCATCAGATGGTATCAGAATCGGCTTTCCCGTCTCTATGTCCTTAATTCATAAGCATGGGTGACGTACCAGATGCAAGGGAAAATTTGGGCGTAAGAAATCGACGGCTTGACGGTCTTACTACTAAGATCGGAGAGATCAGTCAATTATTGTTACGGTTTGTTGGTAACAATAACAACAGGCAAAATTATCAACTTGGCAATAAGGAAATCAACTATGAATAGATTGTAGAGTTTGTAATTCAGAGAGAAAATAACTAGAGACTTGCAGTAGAAGAAATTAAATTGGATGTTAGAGATAAGGAATAGAAAAATGAAGAATATATCGATGAAGTTTGTAGAGAATAACAATAAGATTTTGTATGTATTGTGGAGAAAATCTTGCTCACCCAAGCAGGAAAATTTAACTCAATGTGAAAAATCTTTCAAGTCAATGATGTCATTTGCAGTCGGATCGTAGACATTTGCAATTGTGAGAATCTGATCACGAAGAAGCTTGTGAATCATTTGAAATTACCAAACAAACCACATCTTGATGGATTAAGAAGGGTTCGTCTATGCAAGTTACTCAAATTTGTAAGGTAACTTTGTCAATTGGAATTTGCCGCAAATCAAAAGTTATTTGTGATATTGTTTAGTTGGATGTGTGTCATATTATGTTCGATAGATCGTGGGAGATTGATGTGGATGTCATAAATAAGGATAGAGAGAGTACCTACAAGTTTAAGTGGAATGATAAAAAGATTATGATTGCACCAATAAGAATAGCACATAAAGCTTCTAAAGTGGAAGTGAAGGATTTTCTAACCATTTCAAATTGAAATAGTAAGTTTTCCTGTCATAAGCTTTTGTATCTAGATGCCAACTTAGGGTCGAGTTGTTTTGAAGTGGAAGGGAATAATGCGGGACAGTTAGAAAATAAAATCATAAATAATTGGAAAAGAGCAAAAAATCAAGAAGATCTACAAAAATATACATAACTTTCAACTCGAATGTCGGATTTTCGTCCGTTAGTACAATCCAGAAGTGTTTTTCGATTTTGCACATATTTTTTTCATAACGTTGTCAAACTTTTGGGGTCAAATTCCGTTGTTTATAGCTCTATTTTAGTTTTTTTTAAAGTCAGTTCAAGGGTATTTTCGTCATTTTTATAGTATTTTAGTTTTATTAAGGTTTGTTTAATAATTTTTTAGTTTATTTGGATTTGTTTATGGAATTAGAATTTCACTTTAATTATGAATTGTTTTGAGTCTATAAATTCCTGTTATTCTTGTAAAAATAATACATTTGAATCTTGATTAATAAAATATTTTAGTTTTCCCATTTATTGGTGGATTTCAAATAGTTATCACGTCCGTTCGAGCAAAAATCGAGCAAATATCCATTTGTGTGTTACAAACAAAACACTTTTTATTATTATTCACGTTTTCGTCCCGCATCAATAAATCATAAATTTTCAACGTGCAAATTATTTTTGAAATGGAAATTCGTTGTAACTAACCAGAAATTTTCTGCATGCACTATGATGATGCCGCTCTCTAAGCCACTTCAAGGTCATTGGATTTGGGGATTTTCCCATATGTATTCGGAGTCAACATTGATTTAAATTAAATTTAAATAATTAAACGTGTTTTTACTTGACAATTTCATTTTCTAGTTGTACAACCATTATGCCATTAACATTTCCCATAGATATTTTTTTAAAATTGGCAAAGATATGTATGATAAACCTAAAAAAAATCATTTATAATTGAATTTTAAAAGTCAAACTTTAATTTTAACCATACATTTTGTATCCACACCTCATTTCCATATATCACACTGTGACTTTTTAATAACTTATAATTTTATCCATCTACTCGCACGGTAAATAAATAGCTATATACATGAATTATAAAAAAATAAAATGAAATCAATTAGCTGAATTATCATCACATTGTGTATCCTTAACAAGTGGATCACCATCACATGTCAGCCTCTTTGTTCGGGTTTGATTATCAGTAACTTTTTAGGAATTTTTGTATGAGGAATATTGTTGAAGATCATGAAATGCGTAAAAATAAGTAGTAGCACTTTCAATTTTGTGATTGAAATCAAAATTTGACTTTTAATAGATAATAAAAATAAAATTTAAATTATTAATAATGTAAGATGAAAAAGGCATAATTCTAGTTGCAGACTCGTAGGTTATAGCCTCAATAGGTGATGCAAACATTAAAATAGTGTTTTTAATTGTTGTTAATGCCTTGACGTAGTTCCAACACATGTGAGCAGTTTCTTTATTAGACCAACTAATATACAAGTTTTTCTTTAATTTTTTAGCGTTCTATTTGGTAAACAAGTTGTTTCTGTCATCTTCTCATCCCATCAAGACTCCAAACTACTCATCCTCGCTTTCCTCATGTGTGTCTTCATTGCACATGCTTTAATGTTTGACTTGGTCATCTTGTTCGTGTCTATAATGGACATGTTTTGATGTTTGATATAGCTAATCTTCATTTCACGTGGGAGGGATGATGATCTTCTAAAAGTCATTTTTAATGAATAGATAAAGTCAACGTATGAGTTTGCGTATACTACAATGTATTGTGAGAGTGATAATTAATATTTTTACGCAATGAGGAGTTACAAATGAATATTTTAGCAAAATCGATTATTAAAATTTCAACTGCATCATACAAAACTGTTCCTTGTATATGTACATATTATAAAATCCTATTTTTTAAAACTTATTTGCATTATTAGATTTCAATGTACTTCTAGATAGAAACATATAATTAACAAAATCTCGCAAAATTGATATTAAAATGACCTCATGGAAGAGAAATTCTACCTGCACCAAATAATATAATATATATTTGACTTAAGGTTTTGTTATTTTTCACCATTTGATCATTTTCGGAATGGTCTAAAGTCTTCAAGAATAAAATATCACATTGGATATAATAATGCTTAAATTATATTAAATTTTATTGATAAATATATAATGAAAAGGTTAATTCATAATTGAATAAAAGTTTGTTTGGCACAGATTTTTTCAAGAAAAATTTATTTTTGTTTGTGTGATTAAAAAGTGGAAAAAAATTATGAATCCAAAATATTGTATAATTGAAAATGATTTTAGGAAAAAATAATTTGTAAAAATCTTTGACAACAAGACTCAAGTAAGGTAAACTTACCTATTCTTTCGTTGATTTAGGGAACTCGAAAAATAGTTATGTAAACGATGAACACTGAATATCTATTTTATAGTAGAATCATGATATTAATCTCTGTTTTGTTCCACATCTTTCTTTATATTATAAGTTGGTCAAACTTTATTTTTAACCTCACAAATCATAGGATCCATAATTTTTATTTACTTTTTAATCGTACAATTCATGGGATCCACCAGTTTATAATCTCAAAAAGCTTTGTAAAACAGGAACTTAATAAATTAAATGCATTGTTAATTAGCACAACATTCCAATTAAATAACATGTAAATCAAGAATTCATATAGTTAAAATGGCTCAGGAGACATTAAATACGTAATCTTGAATACTGATAGAACTAAAATCACGAATGTAATTAACAAAATCAAGCTCAACTACTAGGCTACGATGTATTATAAGGACCATATATACTTGAAGAAATAGGACTGATCTTCATTTAGATGTGTTCTTCACATCAATTTCTCAAGTTTCATAGTGAACATAGTTTTATTATTATAGAATGTTAACCCTATGCAAAATGATTTAATGAGCATCGCCCACCAATGAATTTATATAATACGTTATTGGTACTTACCATAAGATGAGCACGGGTTTTCGGTAGATCATTCTTGTTTAACCCTAATTGCTAGTAATTTAGAAAGTCAACAATTTATAAGAATTTAATATGGTGTGTGAAGTTTGACTTGTCCTCATATTCGCAGGTACATGTATTATAAAGGACATTGCAACCAAGCTAGCGTAGCAATGATCAATTGTTATCTAAATTCTCTGCGTACAGCTCCCCTGCTTTGATCAGAATATATAGCGATCAGGTATGACTACATTTTCTACATTACCATACAGTGGCGGACCCAGGATCTCAACTCAGCCCGGGCGGACGTTGACTCGTCAACGTTGACCAGTCACGTCGACCATCAGCGATCGTAAGAGCGATGTCGTT